CACATGCACTCATGCCAGTAGGATTTTCATGCTGCTGGGCAGAACTGAATCATTGAGTAGGCCCTGTGGGATCCAGCGCCTTATCCTCCCCACCACCTGCTGGCCCAAATACCAAATTTCCTTTTAAGAGGAGAGATATGGCATCATCAACTAGCGTAATGGCTATGTCGCTTGACTCCCATGTAGTCGACCACGGATCGAATCGCAGACTTAAAAGCTTAAATTCAAACCGGATACATGTGTGCACTCCCAAGATCCCAAGAGGAGAATGGAGGAGAACGGATTACAGCATGGCCATCTCCCCTGGGGGTGATTTTTCAATTTCTGTCTCTATGTCTCTCTTTCTGCCTTTTCTGGCCAGCGCACATACCCTATAGCAAAAACCTCTCCAAAAAAAAAAAGAGGAGAGATATGTCATGGTGGGTAAGGTAAGGTGCTGGACTCCCACATGGCTGTCAGTTTTTTGAGTCCTGAACGTGGTGGCTGGCTTTTTCACTTTCTCATTCTCTTTCTCTGTCTCTTACTTGCAAGCATCCATGTCTTACAATAAATAAAATAATAATAGTGGTAGTAAATAAATAAAATAATGTAAGTTAATAAAAAAAGGAGAGATATGAGACAGACCACATAATTTCAGGCACACAACTGGATTAAATAGGTCGCGGATTCTAAGCAGAATGTAGTAAGTCTCAAATTCTATACCCAGTTTCCTTAACAAGGTTCTTCATCTACTCCAACTACTTCCTAAGAGAATATGATGATAAAAAATTAGTCATGGGGGCCGGCAAGTGGCATGGTGGTTAAAGGTGCTGGACTCCCACATGGCCAACCACGGTTCAAGTCTCAGACCTGGTGGCTTGCGTTCTCACTTCCTCTCTCTCTCTCTGTGTCTCTCTGATCAAACTGGGAAATAACAATGATAATAATAATAAATAAAGTTAAATAAAATAAATTTTTTTTGGGGGGGAGAGATTTTCACTGTAGGGCGCGTGCGCTCGCCAGACAGAGAGTGACATAGAGACAGAAAGCGAGAAATCACCCCCCAGGGGTGATGGTCACGCCGCAATCCCTTCTCCTCCATTCTCCTCTCAGGATCTTGGGCACGCACGCACACGCGCCCGGTGTGAGTTTTAAGCCACCGGGTCCGGGACGCGAACCGCGGTCGACTACATGGGAGTCCAGCAACATAGCCATTACGCTAACTGCTGGTTCCCAATAAAATAATTCTTTAAAAAAAAAAAGTTAGTCATGATACCTGTAGCATGTACACTGACAAAGGACAAGGAACCCAGAAGATCTGAAAATGAGAAAGGCCAGAGTCCAAGGAAACAGACAAGATCTCTGACACAATATCAACAGTGAAAGGACACCAAGTTGTAACCTGTAGACTCACATTAGAAATCTGGGTGGTGGAGCTGGCAAATGGCATGGTGGTTATGGTGCTGGACTCCCACATACCATGCACGGTTCAAGCCCTGGAGCTGGTAGCTTGCTTTCTCACTTTCCTTCTCTCTGTCTCTCTGTCTCTCTCTGTCTCTCTCTGGTCAAATTAGAAAAATAAGTAATGATGAGAACTTAAATAAATAAATAATTATTTAAAAACAAACAAAAAAACAATTCTGGATGGAATTCACCCAGTATGTCTTCACCATAAAACCTTAAGCTGAGGTGGGACCAGCAGTTAGCATAATGGCTATGTCACTGGACTCCCGCATAATTGATTGCGGTTCG